AAGCTACCACCACAGTAGGGAATATCAAAGACAAAACACTCAACGGAAGTGGGAACGCAGTAAGATAAACAGAACACTAGAAAATGTGAGTCAGAGTTTGCCTTGAGGGCACTTTCCCTGCCTGGTTAACTTAAGCTTTCATTTTGGACACAAAACGAAGTCCAGGGTGTGCTGGGTGTGAGGAATGTAAGCCTCCTCCACAAAAGATCACACCCACAGTGTCATGGTGAATTTCTAGTGCTAGAAATCTTCTTGCCTTCCTGCCCTCCATACTTCTCCACAGAGTGTATACATCACCCCGCCCCCTCCCAGACTTAAAGAAAAAAAAAAAAGAATCTATCTCAAATGTTGGAACAAATCCTCTCCAAGAACCCTAACCACATTCCAGTCCTCAGGCAGGTTTATAGTTTAAAATCACACAACCTGGGTGGCCTGGAAAACCTCAAGCTAAAAATTCAATATGGTCCCAAGTTGGTTATGCCCCAGGCAGAAGTAAATGAAAAGATTCTCTGGAGGAACACATAAAAAATTTACAAAATACTCCGGAAAATAAGACTCAATGAGCGAGAAACAACAAAAATAAATGCAGGAAGAATGCAGATATTAGAATGATCAGAATCACAATTTAAAACGATGGAAAGGATTAATATGACTAGAGAGCAAAAGACTCTAAGAAATGATTAAACAGCAGATAGGAAAGTGAACCACACAACTGGTAGGAAAAAAATATAAACTGCAATGGATCGGTTTAAAGCGGATTAGTCACAGCTAAAGGAAGAATAAAAGGATCATGCATACCGCTCAAGAGGTACTAAGAGAAAACTGACAGCTTTATATGTTTGTATTAAAAAAGTCTTGAATGGGGGCGCCTGGGTGGCTTAGTCGGTTAAGCGTCCGACTTTCGCTTAGGTCATGATCTCACGGTTCGTGGGTTCGAGCCCCGCGTCGGGCTCTGTGCTGACTGCCAGCTCAGAGCCTGGAGCCTGTTTCAGTCTGTGACTCCCTCTCTCTCTGACCCTCCCCTGCTTACGCTGTCTCTCTCTCTCTCTCTCCTAGAAATAAAAATAAAAATATTAAAAAAATAAATAAATAAAAATAAAAAAGTCTTGAATGGCCATCGCTGAAGTGCCAGTGGCCAAAATGATGTTCAATTCTCAATTCTTGGGTGACTTCTGAACAGAGCAAGAGTCACAAAAGGCGTCTTTCCACATTCGCGGGAAGCTTATGTCTTCCCCTCTTTCCACAGAGCTGGGAGAGAAGTACGACGTCCGATCTATGCCCATCCAAAAAGATGATGAAGTACAGGTTGTAGGAGGACACTACAAGGGTCAGCGAATTGGCAAAGTAGTCCAGGTATACAGGAAAAAATACGTCATCTACGTAAAGTACAGAGGGAGAAGGCGGACGGCACGCCTGCCCGTGTGGGTGTTCACCCTGGCAAGGTGGGTATCCCTAGATGAAACCCAGACAAAGACCTTGAACATAAAGCCAAGTCTTGCCAAGTAGCAAATATAAGGAAGAAACTAATGAGAGAATGAAGGAATAAAGTAATCTTAGATATGATTTTAAATAAAAATTGTTAAAAAAAAAAAACTGTTAAAATGAGAAAAAAAGTGTTAAAAAGTAATGTTAAAGATTAAACTTGTTAGAAAAAGAAAAAAAGATCTCTAAAGGGAAAAGTATTAAAGTTTATTGAGAGACATTCAATATGTTTGTGGACTGGAAAACTGAATATTATAAAAATATCTATTTCTTTCCACATTAATTCCACGTACATAGAATCAGTGCAACTGCCAAAAACAAAACAAAACAAAAAACAACCGAACAGGTTTTCAGTTTTTGTTTCAAGGAGTTGGAAAACTGAGTTTAAAATGTAAGTGAAGTCGTAAAGATCAAGAATTGCTAAGGAGAACAGGGTCAGAGGTCTTGATTTGTCAAAGATTAAGATTTATTAAAAGATATCAAAGTTAAGAAAGGAGGGATAGACTGGAGGAGACCAGTGGAAAGCAGAGAGCCCAGAGATAGACTCGTGCAGAGAGGCCACGTGATTTATGCAGAGCTGTGGAGAAAGAACGATTAATGCTGGGACAAAACAGAATGGACCCCAACCTCACCCCATTCCACCAAAGAAATTTCTGGTAGATTAAAGACCTATGTGTGAAAAAGAAATCCTGAAAGGATTTAAAAAAGAATATGGGGAATTACCTTCATTACCTCAGGGCACAAAAGGATTTCTTAAAGGAGACACAAAGTGAAAACAAGCATGAAGGAAAGATCAGTAACTTCAACTCCTTTAAAATCTCCTTGTTCAGCAAAAAATCATAACAATAAGCACATGAAAGACAAATTACAGAGCACAAGATATTTGCAAAACATATGCACAGTAATAAAAGACCCGATCCAGACCCACAAAGAACTCTCAGAAATAAGAAAAAAAAAAAAAAAAAAAAACCAATGCCAAATCAAACTAAACCAAGCAAAAACAGCTGAGAGAAACTACCAGTGGGCAAATGGGACCTACGTGGGCAAAAGACTTGACAAAATTTCCACACAAAAAAGCAAAGCATATAAAAGTTAGTATCGGTGGCTACATGAGCTGTGTGTTTTATTTTCTGCATTCTGACATCTGGAGCCTGGGTGCTGCTGGAGGGACTATCCCTCCCAAGGTCTACCAATTCCTACAGGTAGGGTAAACAACTGGTGTGCTTTTCAAACACAAACCCACCAATCCAGAGCCCAACACCCCAACCATCTCCTTGGGGTCACTATCCATATGCCCTAATCTCCTGCGCCAGGTAACAGACTAGAGCCAGTGCCTGTAACCCAGAGCCTGCTGAAATGATGCAAACTAGCCGGATCCGAAACCCTTCTGCCCTGCCCCGCCTGTCGCTTCCTGCGTAAACCACAGCAAAGGCTCCTGCCTAGCTGCTCTTTCTATAGCTGCCTTCTGATCAACCTGGTGCTTTTCCCTGTGGCCGGGAGAGGCATGATGGACCCTTTTCTCCTGGGCACTGTGAATAACAAAGTATCTTTTCAGTGGTAATCATCTCCTGATATCTGTTGCCCTTACTATACACCAAATTTCCTTTTGATACTCTATAATGCAAAATAACATCTTCATCAGTAACCAGAGAAATGCAAATTAAAATCACAAGATACCTTATACACTGACAGTACTGGCAAAGATGACAATATTTGTTACTGATAAAATTAAGTGTGGATGAATATATCCAACCAAAAGACCAACATATTGCTGGCAGGGTGTATATCATTAAAACTATTTTCTTTCTTTAAAAAAAATTTTTTTTTAACGTTTTATTTATTTTTGAGACAGAGAGAGACAGAGCATGAACAGGGATGGGGCAGAGAGAGAGGGGGACACAGAATCCAAAACAGGCTCCAGGCTCTGAGCTGTCAGCACAGAGCCCGACGCGAGGCTCGAACCCATGTACTGTGAGATCATGCCCTGAGGCAAAGTCAGACACTCAACTGACTGAGCCACCCAGGTGCCCCACATTAGAACTATTTTCAAAACCAGTTTGGCTTTACCTAGTCAAGTTGAAAACAGGCCTACTCCTAGGAAAACATGCTACTCCTGAAGAAACTCCTGTGTATTTGCAGTATTGCAGTACCACACATGTTCAAAATATTCATAGCAGCACTGTTTTTAATGGCAAAAAATAGAGAACACCTCACATATTCACCAATAACAAAGTAAATACTCTGGAATATTATACAAACGTAAAATAAATGATTTTAATTGCTGTAACAATGTGGGTAAATTGCAGGAGTATAATACTGAGTAGAAAATAATCATGGCAGGGCACCTGGGTGGCTCAATCAGTTGGTTAAACATCCGACTTTGGCTCAGGTCATGATGTCATAGTTTGTGAGTTTGAGCCCTGCGGCGGGCTCTGTGCTGATAGCTCAGAGCCTGGAGCCTGCTTCAGATTCTGTGTCTCCCTTTTTCTCTGTCCCTCCCCGACTTGTGCTCTTTGCCTCTCAAAAAAAAAAAAAAAAAAATCATGGCAACTGTTTACAGTATGATTCGATTTACAGAAAGTTCAGGAAAATAGAAAACAAGGGGCACCTAGGTGGCTCAGTTTGTTGAAAGTCTGACTCTTCATTTAGGCTTAGGTCTTGATCTCACCGTTTGAGGGTTTGTTTGAGACCCACTGATAGCTCATAGTGCAGAGCCTGCTTGGGATTCTCTCTCTCTTTCTCTGGCCCTCTCCCATGCTCTTTCTCTCTTTCTCAAAAATAAGCATTAAAGGGGCGCCTGAGTGGCTCAGTTGGTTAAGCATCCCATTCTGGCTCAGGTCACGATGTTGCAATTCATGGGTTTGAGCCCTGCATCAGGCTCTCTGCTGTCAGCTCAAAGCCTGGGGCCTGCTTTGGATTCTGTGTCTCCCTCTCTCTCTCTGCCCTCGCACTCACACTCTGTCTCTCTCTAAAACAAACAGTAAAAAATTTTTTAGGGGCGCCTGGGTGGCTTAGTCGGTTAAGCGTCCGACTTTCGCTTAGGTCATGATCTTGTAGTTCGTGGGTTCAAGCCCCGCGTCGGGCTCTGTGCTGACTGCCAGCTCAGAGCCTGGAGCCTGCTTCAGATTCTGTGTCTCCCTCTCTCTCTGACCCTCCCCTGCTCATGCTGTCTCTGTCTCTCTTTCCTAGAAATAAATAAAACATTAAAAAAAATTTTTTTAATTAAAAAAATAAACATTAAATAAAATAGAAAATGAAACAATAAACCATCTAAAAACAAACAGAGTGGTTGCCCCTGAGGGAGTAAGGAAGGCAATGAGAACAGAGAAGAGCAAAGGTAATGATGTCACTTTTCTTAAACTTGGTGGGGGTTTGTGGTGTTCACTGTACTATTATTCTTCATACTTTACATATATTTGATAAATGTTCTTTTGTACCCACTGAATTCTTAATATAAACAATTCTTAAAAAATGGATATTAAGATTAGTTTTACAACGGTATAGGTACAAGGGCATACCGTCCTCACTGGTGTGGGGCTCCGTACCAGCGTCCTGATCCACTTCCTCCAATGTACCGTGCTCACTGTATGGGCTGTCACTGCCAGGTGGAAACAGAAATTCAGATAAAGCCGAAGGAAGGATTTCAAAACTGAACAACTCCCACTATAGGTAAAGACATAAGACTGGAGTGGCAGAAGAGTCACTGGATAGGCTTTCGATGAGATGCTGGAGCCTCAAGGATTATCTGGTCTTATGGGAGTGTAGGTCCTTCATCATTGATAGGTAATTCGTATCCACAGAAATTAGAATTGGTTGAATTCTGGTGGAATACGACTATTGTCCTATGGATACACGAGTTTTTGTAAATTCATTTCACTATTCCTTACTGCATATAAATTGATGGCTCCTTGATTTCTGCTTTAAATTGACTATAGTATCTTTCCCATCTTTTCTTGACATGTGTTCATTTTAGATTTGTGAGACTCACAATCTTATTCTTTTTTAAAACTTACCCTTTAACACTACCAGACTCCTCAAATGTATGCTGGCAAATGGAACGCATCTACCGCAAGTTGCTGTAAAAGCCCATTTATATAGGTGGTGTTGGCGAGAAGATTAACTGCTTTCTCATAGACTTTCTGTTTGAAATGAGCAGTTGCCCATGGAAACACTATGAATGGGCAAAGAACATAATCAAGCACATATTACTGGCTGCAAGACTCCTTATTACGGGGCTTTTCCTTGTTTGTAAAAGAGTGGTGACCACAAAAGTTGTAGGATGCAACACATCAGATGCCAGATACTGACTGGCCTTCCACATATCACTCTTTGATAAAAGGAATTAGAAAGCAAAACCTACTTATATGGCCCTGAATATTTGGAAATACTATGACACTAGGTTTGCAATAAGTATGACTGTGAAGATAAAATTATGCATCTCACCAGGGCTGAGTTTGATACATTTATCTTCCTAGAGCCAAGATCAGTCAGTACCCTGGACACAGTAAGTGCTCAAGTAAACATTATAAAATTCAATTTCATATGTAAAATTACTAGATACACCACAGAACTGGAATCTATCAAAAAAAAAAAAAAAAAGGAACTGGACTCTATCATGCTTTGTCATTAATTTAGAAAGGAGTGCTTCTGGAAATAGTTTTCTTAAGGCATAATCCAATCACGCTGTGGTTTAACCCCATTATGATGGTTTAAGTATACTTTCAGGTATTTAAGATCTTTCAGCTACTTGTACTACCTTCTACTTAATCCCTCATGAGCTACTGGGATACTGTCCTGAGGAGGGTCCAGAATGGGTTTAGGTAGGTCTCCTTTCTGAATCTGGGCTGCACAGAACAGTTTCTGAGGTGGGCTGGGAGGCAGCTGTTGAGTGGGAAGGGTCACGTGGGCTTTGGAATCAGACAGACCTGGGCTGCCTCCAGTTACAGTTAGGCATTGGAGAGGCTCCTTGGCCTCACTTTACTTGGTAAAGTGGTTAGTGTATAAAGTGATCACATGCCAAGTGATCACACCAAGTAACTGGCACACAGTAGGTGCTCAAGGAACCAAAGGTACTTTCATTGTTTATGACTTCTGAGAAGTTGGAATTCATATATCAATTAGTGAACATGAACATTTTAGGGTTCCCTACCTTTGGGATTATTCAACTACACCTTCCCCATTTTTATACTTCATTGGGAGGCGACTATACTTTCATTCAATTTTTTTTGTCCCAATGACATATTAATAATAAGTTAGTTAAATAAATTAAATTTGCTTAAAATGACCATTACTAGTATAATTGGTTAGGATAACATTTTTTATTAAGAATGGAAATAATTAAGAATGAAAACATATTTGGTTGAGAGGGCTCCTTTAAAATGATAAACTTGAAATAGTTGGCGCCAAAACTATTTCAGAATGAAAACAAAATCTGTCAGTTCAATCAGTTATCTTTGCTTGATATAAAAGTGAAATTAATACAGCTCTATATGATACATATCAAAACCATTATTCTCTACAGAAGTTACAATGGGGTGGATATATCTTAAAGGATGTGATCCTTGGGGGAAAAGGGAGGGGATGAAAAGGAGTTTCCCTAGGAGAGGCCATGTTCTCATGGGTCTTAGTATTCTAATCTCAAGTGTTCCTACTTCTTCTTTTTTAAAAATTGGAATCTTTGGCAACTTAGAGTCAATTATTTTTCTTAATTAAATTGATATCTATACTTCCATAATTTTTCCAGGGGAGGGGAAAGACTAAAATGCTTGAACTTACCAGTAGTCATCCCCAGCCATACATTTCTCATAAACAGGGCCATCCAGCTCTTTAGCATCTGGGAAAATAGTTTCATGGTGGATGATGATGGTTTTGACAATTTCATTAACGTGTGCCTGACAAGACACTTGATCCTGTATGTCTGGGACGGGCATCAATGTCGGGCCAAAACAAATGGCCAGGTTATAAGGGTCCATCATGTTCTCATCGCTGTACTGTGAAAGGCTATGGAAGAAAGAAAAGTTAGAAAAGAACAAGAGAGGGGCGCCAGGGTGGCTCAGTCGGTTAAGCATCTGACTTCGACTCAGGTCATGATCTCACGGTTCATGGGTTTGAGCCCCGTGTCAGGCTCTGTGCTGACAGCTAGCTCAGATCCTGGAGCCTGTTTCAGATTCTATTTCCCTCTCTCTCTGACCCTCCCCTGCTCACGCTGTGTCTATCTCTCTCTCAGAAATAAATAAAACATTTAAAAAATTAAGAAAAAAGAACGAGAAAAAAGAAAACTGATTTTTAAAAAATGCATATTTAGTATTGAGAGAAAGAGAGAGAGCACATGCGCGTGCAAGAGAACGCATGAATGGGGGAGGGGCAAAGAGACAGACACAGAATCCCAACCCGAAATGTAAGTGCAGAGCCCGACATGGGGGCTTGAACTCATGAACCGCAAGACCATGACCTGAGTGAAAGTCGGATGCTTATCTGATTGAGCCACCCAGGTGCCCTGAAAACTGATGTTTAATAAAATACTTTCTATTTTGAAAACAGGGATCCAAAGCATTTTATCTGGTTTTTATTATTAGAATAAATGATGTCCCACACTACTTTAAGCTGGCTCAACAAATTCCAAAGGAAGTAAAGAAACTTAAAAACTTTCAACTAGAAAGAAACCTTAAGGGGAATATAAATCCTATGTGCTTAATTAAGTGGCATTTTTCAAAGCCACAAGAGTTTAAGATAATTTCTATTACAATGGAGACCAGGATCAAGCAAATGAGTTTCATTTGTAAACACTATGGTCAGGCTCTAAATGCTACTCAAATAAATCTGGGAAGGTCAGTAGAGAGATCCATAAAGCTTGATGGATGTCTTCAAAACTGTCCTCCCACTAATCCGAAACATCTCAGATTTCAGTTTTCTCCTATAAATCTTGAGGAAAGCCTTGAGGAAAACAAAGCACCTTTTCTTTGAAACTGCTGAAAGAAAGCAAACAACTCCAGGCTTTATAATGTGCTTTTGGGTAAGACTACCAACACAACTCCATCAATGTTAGAAAAGACATTGTAAGTGCAAGAGAAGGGAAAAAGAATCCTCAGTTCTCTCTCTTTTAAAGCTGGCAAATTACAAACTTTGGGGAGATTTCTCGTTGCTTCATATTAATTTCTAAATTCAACCCTATGGGCATCTGTGAGGTATTTCCCACAGGCACCTCAAAATAAACCAGCTTTTTTCTTTCTTTTTTTTTTTTTTTTTTTTTGCTCTGCCCCTAACATATACAAAAGGTGCTGTTCTAGGGAGAAGCCAGAGGTATTATCTTTCTGTGAAGAAAATGTCAATCTTGAAAGGAAATGTAAAATCCAGGTGAACAGATGACAAATGGAAGAAGAAAAAAAGAGACTCAGACACATTTGTGGGACGGTGACAGACACAAAGAAACTAAAATACCACATGACCTGATACTCTACCCTTTTTTGGAAATGATAGCCTAGAAAGTCGAAAATACAAAAGCATCATCTCCTCAGCTAACATATGTCTTTCCCTTCTGTCATTTCTCAAGCCTATAGTCTTTTAGAAAAGTTCACAATAAAGGGAACGATCATGTTACAGATCATCTGGAAAATAGATGCACGGAGGAGAAGTGAGATTCAGAATAAGAATGGTCTAATTTTCAAAAGACACATGTAAGCTCAACGGGGAGAGTCACAATTAATCTTTCTGGGTCTTTCATTTAGTGCTGGCTTGAAGAGCAAAATCTTGACATAAAAGTGTTATATCCAGGTTTCAATTTTACAATTAAGAGAGAATAGGTTAATTTGACAGTAAACTATTTGTAAAAAAAAAAAAAAAAAAAAACATTTTTAAAATATTAATAAAAAAAAAAAAAAAAGAGAGAATAGGTTATTTTTCTTCTCAGAATTCCTGCCCCAAGCATTCCTCCTCTAGAGGCTGGGGCTTGTCTCTGCATGAAGGCAGGTGCAGCAAGCCAGGGGGCACCTTTGGGCAGACGTGCTGAAAGCAATGCCAGTCGGCTATTTGCTTTCTGTTGAGATACATAGTGAGTTTGATTCAGGTTTTGAGAACTTTTTTTTTTTTTACCTTTTTTAAAAGTTTACTTATTTTTGAGAGAGAGAGACAGGGAGAGCAAAGGGGAGGGAGGGGCAGAGAAAGAGGGAGAGAGAGAGAGAATCACAAGGAGGCTCTGCACTGTCATCACGGAGCCTGATACAGGGGCTCTAAGTCAGGAACCATGAGATCATGACCTGAGCTGAAAACAAGAGTTAGAGGCTTAGGGGCGCCTGGGTGGCTTAGTCGGTTAAGCGTCCGACTTTCGCTTGGGTCATGATCTCGCCGTTCGTGGGTTCGAGCCCCGCGTCGGGCTCTGTGCTGACTGCCAGCTCAGAGCCTGGAGCCTGTTTCAGTCTGTGACTCCCTCTCTCTCTGACCCTCCCCTGCTCACGCTGTCTCTCTCTCTCTCCTAGAAATAAATAAAACATTAAAAAAAAAAAAAATTAAAAAAAAAAAAAAAAAAAAAAGAGTTAGAGGCTTAACCGACTGAGCCATCCAGGCGCCCCTGACAACTTTCTTGATTCATGCTCTGCTTTCCTAGTCTACTGTAGTTTATTGGTTCACGGTGGGTTTTACTCAGATGTGTGAGAAAAATTCAGTGGGGACAGCACACAGAGGGCCAGCAGCAATGCAAAAGGCAGTTCATACTAGGGGAGGGGAGGCAACGTGCAATTAAAGGTGAAGACAGCAAGACTCCAGATTTTTTTTTTAATTTGAGGATTTAATACTAATGAGGGCGTAAGATTTAAACACAGACACAGACACACACAGACACACAGACACAGACACACACACACCAAAAAAAACACACCCAAGGTCACTGGGGATGGATCCTGAACACCTTTGCTTCAACAATTCCATTTTCAGCTAGGCAGGTCAAATTCCTGAATTCATAGGAATCCAGGTTCCTGTCCATGTTTCCCTATTTCCAGCTTCATTATAGCAACAGGGGTGTGTATTGGAGCCAAGTGCTTGGACTGGGATTTGCCGCCAATTCTCCTGCTCACCCTGAAGCCCACTGTCCAAAGGGCTCTGGTTCATGGGCAATCTCGAATTTTTGTTTTAGGCTCTTCCAGAATTTGGAAATGACAGCAGCTTGGTGAGATGTGATCTCACCTTGCTTTTTGGTTTAAGCAGTCAAGAAGGCCTCTAGTTGGTTGAAATCCTTGCCTGCAGATCCAACAGACCTAAGAATCCCACTCATCTTCACCAGAAAGGGGAGGAACTTTCCAGGGTAGCTAGCCTTTTTAAAGGTAAAATTTATGGCCATCTATTTAACCTACACGTAGTGTATATCCATCTCGCTAGACACTGCTTATTTCCAGTGATGACTTCTGTACAAATGGGTTCCTACTGATTGTCATTTGTGCATATTTTATTTCCTTGCAAGCATTTCCCCGTGATACTTGGTTTTCGGGGTCAACCTGACTGTGTATGATTTCAGAAATAGTTAGCAGGGTGATAGTAAGTTCTCATAGCTTCTGAGAACTTTAAATGTCTAATGAAATAGAGAAGAGAACATATCCTAATTTTAGGGAGAATTTGTGCCACATGGGGAAGGCGGCATTTCCCTGAGCTTATTCCCCTTAGATTCTTTTATTTCTAATTACTTAACTGGGTCATTGAATAACAAGGGGACTCTCACATACGACTTGAGGAAGATATTCTTGTAATGGGACCCATTTTTGTTATTAGGAAGTAACGCAAATGAAAATCCAGTTGCCCAAGTTACAACAATGAAGTTTCTTTGAAAATAAGGCAGTGATTATTTTAAGGGTTCTGTTACATTGTTTTAGAGACTTAGAAATATCTTCCTCTTGACAAGGTCTCATTATATTGAATTTACAGAAATTCTTTCTTGGATCTGTATATGATTTGCATCTATAGTTGACCTCCTTCCTTGACTACAACATCAAAAATCACAGAAATTTTCTGCAGTGAGCAGGTGGTTTGCATCATTTTGACAAAAACATTCATGACATTAACTTTGGATGGAAGATGGAAAAACATATTTCACTGAACAAGTAATTCTTTTTAGTAATATTTGTATATTTTGGATGTAAGGCCATAGTTTCTGCATCTTTCATCTGTCATGAAATGACCTTGATCTGCTGGGGAAAAACAGAACTTTGGTATATATTCAATCATCTTCTCTTTGACTCTGTTGATAAATGGCACCCAATATACATTTCATAGAATCTAAGAACAAAAAGAGAACTCAGAGCAGTACAAATGGAATGGAAGATAGACATTCTGGCAGAGTATTAGGGTACTTACTGATTGAGGAAGGCAAAGAGGTACCTCATCACTATAAGGACGGACCTAGGCAAGGTCAGGAGGAGTTTGCGGATGTGAAGCGCCCTCTCATAGAGATTATCTATTCCTACAGACAGAAGAGAACATGGTTAGGATCATTTCACCTGCTACATTTAAAGCAGAGCACTGACTACTAAATTTCATATCTGACCATAAGCAATCCCTTGGCCCTGGGTGAGATGTAACTCTGACCAAGGCAATGAATACATGATCAGCTTGGGTAAAACACCATTTCTGAGTGTCTCCTTTGACCTATCACTGTTGTCTCTGAATTCTATGTCTTGAGCAACTTAGCGTCTTCTAGGTTTGAAAATAATTTTTCACTTGCTGCTATTTCTACATTTAAAAAATTTTTTTAATGTTTTATTTATTTCTGAGAGAAAGAGAGAGAGACAGCGTGAGCAGGGGAGGGTCAGAGAGAGAGGGAGACACAAAATCTGAAACAGGCTCCAGGCTCTGAGCTTGCTGTCAGCACAGAGTCCGATGTGGGACTCTAACTCATGAACCGCGAGATCATGACCCGGGCTGAAGTCCGAGGCTTAGCCGACTGAGCCACCCAGGTGCCCCAAGTCTTAAAATAAAATCTTAAAAATAAATAAATAAATAGGGGGATAAAAGGTAATACATTAGTGATGTCGTTCCTGCTCTCACAGAACTTACACCTGGTGTTTACAGTTATTTATTTCCTTATCCTGCTTTCCCTGAGTGAGCTCCTTGAAGACAGGAGTACCTGGGACTTCCCAGTATTATTATATACCTCTTTACTAGGAATACAAATTGCCCAAAGCTTCTTAATACTAAAGTGCTTGCAAACAGCAGCAAAAAAATACTAATAATCCAGTATTTGCGTAATGGTCTGTAGTTCACCATCCATTTTCACATTTGTTATCCAGTTTAATGCAGACGACAAGACCTGGAGTAGGCAGGCCATGCAATGTCATCCCCACTTAACAGATTAGGAAAATGAGAAGTGGGTAAGCGGCTTACCCTGGTTACTTGGCTGGAGGGGTGAAGTTGGGACTAAAACGTATTTTCTGTGTAAGTCTGGTTGTCCTTCTTGGATTTCAAAGTACTTTATAAAGTACAATATATTTTTTTAAGATTTTGTTTTTAAGTCATCTCTACACCTAATGTGGGGCTCAAACCCACAACCCTGAGATCATGAGCCATACGCACCATCAACCGAACCAGCCAGGCGACTCTTTATAAAGTACAACTTTATAATGACTTTATCCAACCATTTTCAGGCTGGAAGAAGACACAGGCATTATTTCCAAGAGGTTTAATTTTAATTCAAGATCCTCTGGTTTTGATCTCTCAGTTCTAGGGTAGTTCCCCTACCCCTTAAAGGAAGTTTCATACCTTTATTTAAAAAAACTAGGGAAACAAGTATTTGTTTGTTTGCTCATTTAGTGGTTTTCTTTTAATTTGTTAATTTTTAAAAAAGTTTTTATTTATATTCCAGTTAGTTAACATACAGTGTAATACTCATTTCAGGTGTATAATGCAGGGACTCAACACTTTCAGAGAACAGGTATTTATATACCAATCTCATAGCAGCATTATTCACAATAGCCAAGAGGTAGAAATAACCCAAATGTTCACTGATGGATTACTGGATAAACAAATGTGGTACATATACGCCACGAGCCATTATTCAGCCTTAAAAACGAAATGAAATTCTGATACAACACGGATGAACCTTGAAGACAACTTAAGTGAAATAAGCCAGACACAAAAAGACAAACAGTGTATGATTCGACTTATATAAGGAATCTGGAAAAGTCAGATTCATAGAGACAAAGTGGAAGAGTGATCATCAGGGGCCTAGGGGGAGGGGGGTGCAGGTGGTTACTGCTTTCTGGGTATAGAGCTTCAGTTTGGGGGGATGAAAACGTTCTGGAGATGGATGGTGGTGACAGCTGCGGAACAACGCACATGAATTTAATACCACTGAACTGTACGCTTCAAACGGAGAAGGTGGTAAATTTCATGTTATGGATATTTTACCACAATTAACAAAATATATTGGGGAAGGGCACCATGGGATGCAAATAAAAGATTTCAGAAGAGAAAAGCAACAGGGATGTAAAAAAGTGACACCCAGAAGACCAGATAAAATTATGGCAGGCAGACATACATTCTCTGCAACTACAGGAAACATAAATCAAAGCAAAACCAGAATTGTTGGCATTCCTGACGTGGCAGCAGATCTATCTGTCCAAAAGCCTCGGAGCATGATGGCTGTGAGCAGGACTCAGATATTACCTGGCTGGTTGCTCAACAGGCCTGCAGCAGACATCCTACAGGAGTCTCGCTCTGGGCCAAGTGACTCATTTGCTCTCGAGTCCGGTTAGCAGGTCAAAATTTATGGCTGCTTTGGACACTCTGATTAATGTGCATTCCCATCTGGCTCTGAGTACAGCAACTCATGATCTCACAATTTTATGCTGCGTGAAAAGATGGATTTTTTCTTCCCCTCAGAAGAGTGGTCAGAAAGGAAAATCGGTATTTTGTTTGGATCTTGTTTAAGCTGGCCCGTGTTCCCAAAATTCAGGATCTCATGTAATTAGGTAAAATGGCATTCATCCAATCTTGGTCACATGCTCAAAGCTCCCTAGGCTTATTTATGTTCCTTTCCTGGCACTACAAGTTTCCCATGTCAGCATCCTAACTTCACAGCATGGGGGTTTGACAGCTCTGTGTAAATGAGTGTGAAAAATTCACCAAAAAACACAAGTTACTTGACAAAATGGCAAAAAGCTCAAATGGCCACTACTCTGAATATACCAGTTCTTTGGCGGCACTATATGTGAAAGTATGTGTTTGTCAGAAAACAAATAATAAATCACAAGGTGCAAATTTATCTTTAAGTACGAGAAGAGGGGAGGAAATTAATGGCTCTTATTTAAAAGCAGGTACACCAATATTTCTGAGCTCCACAGCTCAACAGGCAGTATTCAAGGTGAAACTGCCAGTCTCAGGCCATTTTTAGGTAAAACTGTCAAGATATCAATCGTGTGTATGTAATAGTGTATGTGTGTGAATGAAAGGGAAAGGGAAAAACAGAGATGTTCCAGTACATTTAGATGAATTTTAGTCTAGCCTTGAGATGAGAGTTACCAGCTGCTCTTCTAGGTAAGAAATGAAATGCTTGCAAATCTAATTAATTGTTAATAGATTGAGTTCTGTGGATTAAACCATAACGTTCTTTCCTAAATAGCAACAACTGTAGAAATAAATACATAAATAATGTTTCTCCTCCTGCTGAATTATTGAGGTTAGTAAAAAAAACAGTCCTAGCTTAGGAAGCTTTACTTATTCAGTTCAGATACTAATCCTGTTACATATTTTTAAGGGAAAAAGGAATCCCTAATATAAGGCATCAAATAGAAATTTAGAATTCAGACAGAAATCATCTTGTATGCAATAAAGCTGAAAGAATTTGTAGCAACGAAAACATACAATGGAGAACGAGGAAGACAATTCAAGAGCTTTTCCCCCAAGAAACAATTAGAAATGGGCAAATAGATTTACATACTAAAAGGCTCATCATAATATTTTGTTTAATTGCAAAATCACTAGAAACAACCTAAATTTCTAAAACTAGGGGATGCGTTAAATAAAAGCCATTAAATGTCCACTAAAATCTTATTTTGAAAAATACATACTGATAAGGAAAACGCTAATAACATCATTCAATTTAAAATATGTCTTTTAAAGAGCAAATGAGATAGTACCTTCTAAGATTAGATATATTGAACTATAATTCATATATCATACAATTCACATATGTAAGGTATACAGTTCAATGGTTTTTAGTATATGCACAGTTGATCAATCATGATCTCAATCACTTTTAGAACATTTTTATCATCTTAAAAAGAAATCTGACATCCATTAGCAGTTGCTTAGTATGATTCCTCTTTTATTAGAAGTATGTGGTTGTAGTATATCCACACAATGGACAATTATTTGGTGATAAAGTGCTGATATGTGCTACAACATGGTTGAACCTTGAAAACATTATGCTAGGTAAACAAAGCCAGTCACCAAAGACCGCAGGTTATATAATTCCATTTATATATGAAATGGCGAGAATAGGTAAGTTTATAGCATGTCGACTGTGGTTGTCTAGTCTTAGGGGTGGAATGAGTAAATGGGGTATGTTTGCTAATTGTTGTTTCTTTTTGGAGTCATAAATATGTTTTAAAACTGATTGTGGTGTGGTGATTGTGTAATTCTGTGAATATATTAAAAACCACTGAGTTGTACACCTTAATGAAGGAATCGTATGGTATGAGAATTATATCTCAATAGGCTGCTTTTATACATAGGTATAAAAAACTTAAAAAAAAGTATATACGTGTACGTACAGAAAAAAATCTGGGAACATACCAAAAGGGTTTACATTATCTATATGTAGAGGAATTACAGCTGGTTATTTTCCTAGATTATTTTCTAAATTTTCTACAGTGATCAACATATTAATTGGATAATACAGTTATTTAAAAATGTACTAGCTGGCTATTTATTAATTTTAAGAAATTGCTGTTATTTTTAAAAATGATAATGCTATTATGGCTATGTTGTATTAAAAAAAGAGGTGGGATAATTTTGTTCAAAAAATGAAAACTGTTAGATGATTATTTATACTGGAGTTCATTATAATTTTCTGTATCTTTTATAGGTTTATTGGTGAAATTGGTATAATAAAAGAGTCAAGGTGTGTTTGGATGGCTTGGTTGGGTAAGTGTCTGACTTTGGCTCAGGTCATGATCTCATGGATTGTGAGTTCAAGCCCCACGCTGGGCTCTGTGCTGACAGCTCAGAGCCTGATTCACACTTGATCTTAGCCAAAAGGCCGAGAAGTGGTTCAGAGCCTGCTTCAGACCCTCCGTCTCCCTCTCTCTCTCTGCCCCTCCTCTGCCTCTAACACACACTCTCTCTCTCAAAAATAACAAATGTTTAAAAAAAAGAGTCAGAAAGAAGGTTAACTACGAACAGAATGGATAATTTGGTTCCACTTTGGCTTAAAAAAAAAAAAGTTGTGTGTGCCCATGAATA